TATTTAGGGGAGGTTCTGGGTATATATAGGGGGTGATGGAATGAGGAAGTCTCGGCTCTTGGGGGTCAGCAGGTATCTAGGCAACGGGGAGGGTGCAACCCCGACGGCATAGCACGTGATTCCCAGGGAATGGGCAAGGTGAGAAGGGCCATAAACTTGACTCAGCAGGGGAATAGAATGGATACCGGTTATGGCCTCCAATAGCACATGCCTGGAGTAATCCAGCGCTGAGGAGACTGAGACAGGAGGATCACTGCGAGTGCGAGGTGCATAGCAAGACCCTGTAGAAAACAAGTAAAAGATAAAAGAAAGACAATTCTCAGTCTTTCTCTCAAGTTCATTGGAGACCATGTTTTATTTTATTATTTTTTTATTTTTTTTATTTTTTGCGGAACCAGGGATTGAACTCAGACCCTTGTGCTTGCCAGGGAAGCACTTATTCCACAGAGCCATCTCCCCAGCCCGAGACCATATTTTAAATCTGTGTAGCCCCGACTGTTGGGTGAAGCCCCCAGTGCTTTGAAGGGTAGACTTCTAGGAAAGATGGCTAAGGGGGGAGGGTTCCCTCCCTCATGTCCGCCTCCAGACAACTGAGAGTTGCTTTCTGCAGGGTGCAGCTTTCTCTCTCCAGCTTTGGCGCCCTGCGAGCAGAAACAGCATCTAGGAGTGGGGAGCGCGCAGGTCAGTCACGGAACTAACGGCACACGGCAGGCTCCCGCTAGGTCAGTTGATTGGGAAGTATTCTTTAGGGCCTGGCCACTGTCTCCTAAGCTGCCAGTTTTCTTAGTCACCTGTTGGATGAAGAGTTTGGTTGTATTGTAGTGGTGTTTTTTGTTTTGTTTTGTGTTTTGTTTTTTGGGTTTTTTTGCAGTTTTCCTTTTTTGAGGCCTTGCCAAGTCACCACGTTGCCCAGGCCAAGCTTGAATTTACAGTCTTTCTGCCCCACCCAGCTTTCCCGAGTGTTGGGATTGCAGTTGCTTGGAAGCAGACCACATGGGTTGGAAGTCAGTCTGAAGGGTTTACTGCGGCCTCACAACTTTATGGCCTACCGAGCACTGTCACATGTTTGTTATCTCCAGTAGTATATCCTGAAATGTTGGTAGAAGTGAACAGTGCACGCTGGCCTTTTCTGATTTTCAATTGTAGAAAAACCAAGACATTTATATAGCATTCATTGTTTGCATTTTAATTTCTCCCAGTTTTTAAAAGACAAGGTGGAAATGTTTTCTAGATCCCCTAAAAATACAGATGATATTGGGAAGAAATTATTAAACTTGATTTCTCAAAAGAAAGAAATTTAGGGGGCTGGGGAGATAGCTCAGTAGAATAAGCGCAAAGTCCTGAGTTCAATCCCCAGTACCGCGAAAGAAATTTAATGCTGTGGGGTCAGCAGTCTGGTAAAAGGTGCACTGACCTGTCTGTTTCATCTCTCCTAATGTGGCTGTGAAGTTGGAGTGCCTGATCCAGTTGGTGAGAGCAGGCGCCACCCTGAACGCCTCCACCACTCGCTACGCTCAGACCCCGGCCCACATCGCGGCATTCGGAGGACACCCTCAGTGCCTAGTCTGGCTGATCCAAGCTGGGGCCAACATTAATAAGCCGGTAAGCGTGCTGTTTCCTTTCCGCATGGGGATGTTGGTGCACCTGCCCCAAGTGAACTGGGATTTTCCTACCAGGTCTTTGTGGGTAATAGGCTGCTTCGGAGGCCAGCATTCTGTTCCTGTAGTTTTCGCACCTGCTCTGACTCACCTGCAGGCCAGTGATCAGCCAAGGTCACAGCTGAGAATTGAAGATGCTGGCCTTGCACCCAGCTCTCTTGCTCCGGGCACCTGCACCTGCAGGCCTCTGCCGTGGGAGCTTCAGGGTGAGCTTCTGTGGGTTTGGGCGCCAGTGGGTGTCGCAGCTGGATGCAGAGTTGCCAGGAGCCTCCTGCGGAGTGGAAAGAGCAGACGACTAGAGAGCTTTATGTGTATCTCGGGGGGCACCTATGTGCCAGGCACCACACAGTCTACCCTTCCACCCCAGGAAAACCTGCATACTGTGCCTTTGATTTCCTCTCCTGTTTTTATATCCTTTCAAACTCAGCCATGAAGGTCCTGGTGGAGCAGAGAAACTTCTGTCTTCTTTGTAGGTGCTGGGGTTGAGTCTGCTTTGCATGTGTGAAATAGCTGCAGTCCCCTCCTGAAGATAGCTCAGCTGCCACCCTCGATTACAGATGGTCTGGGAAGGAACATGTCAGCCATGGTTTAAGCCCAGGTTGAGTGGGGAGGGTGCAGGGCATCTTGGGGACCTGACCTGTTCTCAGCGACGGGCTGGCGGAGTGGCGAGGTGGGCCTCTGGGCTGCAGGGGCCCTCTGGGTGTCGCCTCACAGTGCTCACCCCTGTTGGTGGTGCCTGCTTGCCCTCCTGTCTTGTAGAGAGGGCATGGTAAGCTTGAGACAAGTTCTTGCTATGTGGTTCAGGCTGACTCAGCAGACTCGTCATATAGCGCGTGTTGCCTGTGAATTCGAGGCAGGCTTACCTTAGCCTCCCAAGTGCTGGGGTCACAGCGGTTTCTGTTGTGCCATCTGCCCTGTGGGGTGGGCGTCCCAGGGTGTCCCACTTCTCCCCAGCCCTTAAATACCTGATCTTTCTGACTCTCTTCTCCTGCGTGCTGTCCGTTGTCTCAGGCTGGCGTGGTATTTCCTCTGTTGAGCCACAGTGTCTTAGCTGCTGTCTGTTCCAGGCGTGCATGTGAGCTAAGCTGAGGGAGGTGCAAGATCTGAGTGCTGGCTGCCAGTTCCCTGAGGGAATGAAGCTTGATGGGGGCAGAGTTGTGGCCACGTGGCCCACTTAAGGATTGCCGAGTCCTCTCTAGCTTCTAGTATCCAGATTTAGAACCTCAGTGATGTTGTTAGTGAAAAAATCAAAGGGCGCTGCCTGTTTTCAGTGCTCTAGTGCCTCCCCTTCCAGAGTTGCTGGGAGCGCGCTGGTGCGCTTGGCAATATGTCCGTTTGGACCAAAGGCTGGAGTACCTTCTCCCAGCTCGCAGGGCCTCCTGTGTCACAGTGGGGAGTGTGCCTCTTCTGTCCTCTGCTGTCCCACCATCCTGTGAGACAGCAGTGGACTGAGCTTTCGCTCTTGTTCTGAGGAGCGCTGTCATGCTCCTTGCCTTGAGTGTTTGCGCACAGCCTCAACTCACCTACATCTCCGCTGCAGTTGTATTTTTATGTAAGTCTTATTTGTTCTTTATGGACTACTTTTTTGTGCCTCTTGGAGAAGGTGGTTTACTTTTTTTTTTCAGAACCGGGGATTGAATTCAGGCCTTGCGCTTGCCAGGGAAGCACTTATTCCACTGAGCCATCTCCCTGGCCCCCCTACTTTTTTTTTTTTAAACATCTGCCTTGGGCTGGTGAGATGGCTCCGTGGTCTAAAGCATCTACTTAGAACAAGCTTAGCAAAGCACAGGGACCGAGGTTCAATCCCCCAGCACCACATGCCAGCCAGCACCGCGCCCTGGTGGGCTGAGCTGGCCACACACACACACACAAATAAAAAGAAAAAAAATTTTAAAAATAAAAAAAAAATTTGCCTTCACTGGTGTCCTGGGTAGGGCTGTGTGCTTTTGTTTCTCTTGTTAGGAAATGGATTTTGCGTTCAAGCTCTCCAGCACATCATGGTGCTTTTTTTTTTTTTTTTTTACAGCCTCCCAAGAGCTGGGATTACAGGCGCGCACCACCACACCCAGTCTCATGGTGCTCTGTTTGGAGCCACATGGCTCCTACTTTAAATACAGGGCCACACTCTGCCTGCCTGCCGGAGCCGCCAGAGCTTGGCCTCTCCCACAGACTGCCTGCTGTTCTTCCCCTTGGTGCCCTCACCTACTGTGCCCCGGAGTTCTCGCATGGTGGAGCAGATAGATGCTCAGTTGCTTCCTGCTGTCCCTGCTGTAAGCCCCTGCCCTGGCCCTGTGGTAGGTTGGCCTCCTGCTGCAGGGCATAGCCCCTGGCTTTGCTGGAGGAAGCCCTCATGCCCCAGGAGATGGTGACTTGCATCTCGTTACATTTGCTCTGTTGAGCTTACTCACCTGAAAGCCCCTGAGCGGTGAGGGGTCTTTGTCCCTGATCCAATATAGAAGATGCCTGCACTCTGGGTGGTGGCATGTGGCCTGGTGAGCCTTCCACAGGGTTCGTCGTCAGCTTGCTCTGCCTCACCCAGTGCCGCCCCTGCCTGCATTGTTGCCAGCATAGAGCTCCTCATGGCACAGCGGCTGGCTCGCCCTTGGTGTCTTCCTTGCTTCTCTTGGCCCTACACCTGGCCTCAAAGTGGTGTCTAAAATATGGTTCTGGTTCCAGTCAGGCTGGAAGATGCAGGGGACACACACGCAAGGGCTGGAGTTGGCATCATGCAGGGATGGAGGATCATGGGTAGAGTGACCCTTAAGTCAGTTATGTGTACTTCTTACCCTTGGCTGCTGTCTTTATTTATTTATTTTTTTTAACTTCTAATTATTTTTTTAAATTATTTATTTATTTTTATTTATTACATTTATTTATTGTGTGTGTGTGTGGCCAGCTCAGCCCACCAGGGGGCGGGGCTGGCTGGCATGTGGTGCTGGGGGATCGAACCGCGGTCCCTGTGCTTTGCCAAGCTTGTTTCAAGTAGGTGCTTTAGACCACTGAGCCATCTCTCCAGCCCTTAACTTCTAATTATTTTGAGTTTGCATGTGCCAAGCTCCCAGAGAAGATACCCTAAGTCACTGTGGATGCTGTCCAGCTGGTGGCCGCCCTGTTTGGTCCTGCTGTACCACTGAACTATCTCCCCGGCCCTAACTTTGCTTTATTTCACAGGTGCTCAAGGAGCCCTCTGGCCACTGCAGGCGCAGAGGGCAGTCAGTGCTGAGTGTGTGTGTTGTCTTGCAGGACTGTGAGGGGGAAACTCCCATTCACAAAGCCGCCCGCTCTGGGAGCCTGGAGTGCCTCAGCGCCCTGGTGGCAAACGGGGCTCACACTGAGTAAGTGCCTTCCATTCTTCCCCCCGCCAGACATTAGCTCTCAGCTAGGCCTCAGTGTGCAGAGCTAGCGAGGCCCAGGGTCTGGGCCTTTCCCATCACCGCTGTTAGTGAGGACAGTGTAGGCGCGCTGGAGCGCTCACAGGAGGGGCTGTGTCCTGGCTGCTTGTCACAGCTGAGGCCCTAGGAACAGCCTAAGTGCAGGCCTGATGTCCTGACCTTGCCACGCGCTAGTCCTTCGCCTGGCCGGTCTTCCCGCTTTCCTCTGCCAGGTTTTAACTCCTAAACCAAGGGCTTGGGTCAGAGCGTCCTTGCAGTCCTTTCTGGCTCATACACTCAAGACAATGAGCTTTTCTTGGGGTTGGTGGCTCCTCTTAGCAGATGCCGGAAGGCTGTGTTTCGGAGCCTGTCAAGACTCAGCCCTTGACACCATGCGTTTTCATAGACCCTTTTATGGCCCCATTTACATCAGTTTGTTGTCTGATAAAACAACCTTAGTGTTCAACTGATCTTTAGAAATGTGATCTTTATTCAGATCATTAGCTGTGGCATTACACATTTGTTATAATTAACTTTCTTTTTCCTTTTTTTTTTATTTGGCAGAACCGGGGATTAAACTCAGGCCTTTGTGCTTGCCAGGCAAGCGCTTATTCTACTGAGCTATCTCCCCAGCCCCTATAATTAACTTTCTCTTAAAGATTATAGAATAATTTTTTCATAGTTTACAATATGAACAAAATGGATGTGGATTTTTTTTAACCCATAAATATTTGAGTGTAAGCTATAGAGCTCTAATAGCCAAGATATTAATACTAGCTTTTTTTGTTTTACATGTCATGAGTAACTTACGACATTGATTAGAAAGCACTTTATTATTGGAAACATGAAATTGTAGACTTTGGGAGAGGTAAAATCCACAGAATTGACCCAGTTTAACCCTTTGGTTTCCATGTCATTGTTTGACTCTGTGTAACAGTAAGTTTTTTTAGATCCTGGACAACAAACCATGCAGGTCATTGTGAGGCGCGGCTCCGTAGGAGAGGCTGTCGCTGGCCTCCCTGGTCTTAGCTTCTGTCTCGCTGAGCGTTGTGGGGCTTGGACCCTTTACTTACTACGGCGTGAGTTGTAGCCTGTTAACCGCCACGATGCAGGGACCCTTGTGACTTAACACGCAGTTATGACTTAAAGGTAACGTAAACAGAACCGGTAATGTGGCTCTATATCTACATACAGCCTTAACACTGAGGAGGTTCTCCAAGAGGTATTGCGCTGGGTACAGGTGAAGCTTATTAGCTGTGTTCAGGTTAAAACTCAGATCTTCAATTTTAATAACAAGCTTTGATTATTATAAAAAGTCATTTATAACATAATTGATTAAATTGCTTAATTATCGTTAATTGAAATAATGAATAATTAGAAGTTGATCTTTTAACAACTTACTGTTCTAAACAATATTCTAATGGTCCTAAACATTATTACAAAGATGTAGCTTAATCCTTTGAGCCCGTGTCTGTCACAATGTCCTTTTCAGTAGGTGTCTTTTTAAACATGAGCATCTTTTATTTACGATTCTGTCCTTGGTTACAGGACCCTCCAGTGTCTCTTTCCCACCAGGTGGTCTGTCCCCATCTCAGTATAAGAGCTCCCCCTCGAGACCCTGCATTGTGGTGACTTGCCTGGACTGAGCGTTCAGATTTTTTTAGAAGAAACATTTGGCCTGAGCTGCCTAGCCAAAAGCAGTTATTAAAATTCTAAGTCTTTGGCCTGGAGAAAGAATTCAAGTAATCGTTATTACTGTTGTTTATGTGGTTTTTTTAAGAACACCTAGATAAAGTGTCATTTCTGCCAGTAAGGTAAATTGAAATGTCTCTTGGTATCTGTTCTGCCTCTCTTCATAGTTTACCCCACGTAGCCTCTCAGCATGTGTAACAGTGTGGTCTCCCCAGAGTAATGGTGTGGAGGTCTGTTTTATCCCTGTAATGCTGCACATACGGGCAAGTATAGTCTTAGCAAATAACACTTTTTTTTTATAAGAACGATCAAAGACATAGAATTCATTCACTTAAAATTTTTTGCAGTTCACAACTCTATAATTTAAATTAGCCTTCTGCAAATAGATTAAAAGCTGCCTCAGCGTTATCTTTGGATATCTGCTACATGAAAGTGGCCGAGGTCTAACCTTTGGTCATCAGATAGTTACAGTGTCTGTGGCTAGAATGGTTTGTTACATAACTTACTTGTCAATGTAGGTTGCCACTGTAAGATAACGCATTTCAGCTGCTGTGCACCGTATTAAATTTTCTAGCACCACACGTGAGTATGTGAATGGATTTTTGTTTTCTTCTCTGTAATTGAAAAGATCTTGAATTTTGGTGCCAAGTTGCCTTTTCCATGAGCAGCACTTCTGTTTCCCATCTGTGGTGGCCATTAATATTTGCTGCCACCTGACCTAAAACTGAACCCCACAGAGCGATCTCCGTTCTGACTACAGGTTTGCATGCGTTACATCCAAGGGTGCCATTGCTCAGTCCTGCGAGAGGTCCCACTGTGCCTGTGCTCACCGCCTGCTTCCCACGGCAGGCTTCTACTGCAGGGTCGGCTGGGCCCTGCACACACTCGGCAGTGGTGGTAGGAGCGTGGAGGTGCCTGAGGTCAGGTCCTGATGTGATTTTAGAGGAAGACTTAGAAGCGCTATCTATTGATGACACCTTTGCTAGTGCAGGAAAGAGCTTTTGAGCCTTAGGTTAGTTTCATTGTTAGATTTTGTCTACTTTATATTTTTCTGGAGAAAAGTGGAGGGTGTTTCCCTATTGACCAGCTGTGAGTATAATGGGTCCCTTTTTTCCTAAAGAGAAATAAGGGATCTGCCTGATATGGAAGCCAGAGTTGCCTTCTCTTGACTGGCCCTGGCCTCACAGGAGGGGTTTTCTGTATCCCATTGCATCCACCCTGTGGAGTGGGCCCAGTTTTGTTGACTTGAGGATTGGGTGCCCAGAGGAGCCATGATGGTGCCAGGCAACCTGGAGAACCAGCTGCAGCTGGAGCCGGCACGGTTAGGGCAGTCTCCTTACCTGATGGGCTTGAAGCCACGGCTGTGTGGAGTAATGGACCTTTACAGCGTGGTGGGACACACTTGTTAAATGCTGTGGAGACTCAAGGCTGGGTTTTTAGAAATCCTTAATTAAAATAGAGTTGGTTCAGTTTGGCTCACCTTGGTGGCCTCCGTGATCCGCCTACCTTTTTTATCATGGAGCCCCACTGGGAAGCAGAATTTCTAGACAGGTGCACAGGTAAGCACGTGTAGTCCGGTGTCCGAAACACACTGCAGCTGTTTCGGTTTACTTTCCTGGCCTTTCAGTTTCAGGTGTGGCTTCTGTTCCTGGCTGCCCTCCTGAAAGCACCTGCTAGGAGAGTCTTCGAGCAAGGGCTCGAGGTAGTACCCCAGTGTTGGGGGTGCTCTTCGCTTCCTGGCACTTGCTTCCCTCGCCCAGTTGTCACTGTTGAGCTGTGCCTTGCTTTTCTGTCCCTTCTGGGATGCACGCCCTGCGTGCAGGACTCACTTCCTGAGGTGTGGCCGCGAGACCTTCCACCAGGCAGGTGCAGTTAACAGATTGACCATTGACCCTGCTCCAGAGCCATTGACAAGTCTGGTTCAAAACTGTACTTTTTCATAACCACATGAATAATGTACAGGCCCAGTATTTTTTTTTTTTTTTAAAGCTTCTGCTTTTATAGATAGAACTTTAAAGCCAAAACCAGCAATTTCTAAAGCCCAGGGTCTGCCTTGCTAAGTTACAGTTGGAGCATACTAGGGCCTGTCAGGCTCCTTGAGTGATGAATGCCCTTGGGTGCTAGCGTATGTGGACATGGCTGGTTCAGCTGCAGCGGAAGCTGTAGCTGAATACCGAACTTGAAACGGGAGCTTGGCACCAAATTATTCAGGTAGAAACTTTTGTGCAGTTGTTTCTTCCTGCTGTAAACTGAAGGGTGTGTGTATAAGACTTCATTATATTGTTTGGATACCAAAGGGTTAAAAATACACGTGTGTCTTTTACCTAAGATACTTTAGATGTTTGCTAATGTTTTGTCTGTACAAATAGACATTTAGAAATGTTTTTTATCTTTTCTTTAATGATTCCATTTATTTGCTTTATTCCATCTAGGAATAGTTACTAATGTATTTGTGATACAGCATACCAAATTTTAAAGTAACCAGAATCGTGAGTTGATGGTTTTTAGTCCATACTGTTAAATTCCATTGGAATATTGACATACTTGAATTGGCTTCATGCTGAAAGGACGAGAGGGAGCTTAGAGGGCAGTGTTGAGCAGCTGCGCGGGCGCGGGCGTCGCGGGCCAGCAGCGCAGCGCCTGCCCGGCACCTCGTGTGTGTATGTATCTTTTGCAATATTGCCTGCAAATGTGATCCCGTATGATTTATAAGTTTCCATGTATGAACCATTGCCCGTTTTAAGTCACACAGAAGATTCTGAATCTGTAAAAACTACACATGTCAATGTTTTCCAGCTACGTAATTCGAATTGACTTGAGTTTTTCAAGTAATCCTAGAAAGGGGGAGCATTCCATATAGAAACTGCTGAAACTGCCACAGGTGCTTCTCCGAAACCTTACGGTTGTGGCATTGAATGCTCAGTATCGCTTCTTTCTGCACACAAGGCATACTGTTGAGGTATTTGTTGCGGTGATTGGTTTTACTGCTAATCTAGGAATTCAGATATAGATTCTTTAGATTTGCATGCTTTGCTTACCCTAATTTATGATATCTACCTTTTATTTGTAAACTAACATTAGCTAAATTGAGATCAGAATTTTAACAGAAATACGTTTATCGAAAAATCGTGGTTCTCTTTCATTGTCACATGGCATTAACAAAAAGGAAACATCCCAAAGGTGTCACGACACCTGGGGCTCTAAACACCACAATTCAGGTGTTTCCTGATCTGTATGTTTTCAAAATCTAGAACAAAACTCAAGACCCACTTGAGTGGCTTCATTGTCCTGGTACTGTGGCACTATAAGTGAGAGCCAGAGAGCCAGCTGGCCTTGGAGAGGAGTCGAGTCTGGGGAGGGGGATTCTCACGGTGGTCTTCATGCTTGGAATGTTTTATAGAAAAGTGGGTGTCTCTCATGTTGGCGCCAGTTGGGCAGAACGCTGGAGGCGCAGTGACAGTGATAGTGTCTGCAGGCGCTGGGTGCCGGTGGGGGGCTGGGCAGCAAGCATGGTGGCTGTCTGTGTAAGGCGGTGTGGCTCAGACCCGTTCCAGGGAGCGGCTGGCGCCGCTGGGGTTCCACGAGGTGCCCCTGGCTTGAATGACCAGCATGAAAGCAAATGCTGTCAGTCAGCAGCAGTAAGTTAAGCTGAGCAGACCTGCAATTGGTTTGAATACCAAGATGATTGTTGTCTAATTGTTAGAGCTGCTCATTTGCAGAGATTTCCTCGATCAGTGTTGGGAGCAGAGAGCAGCCTCCCCGTCACCGCCCTTCGGTGCCAGGCCACTCTGAGTTTGAGTACACATCAGGTATGTGTCCTCTAGAGGCTTGTGTAAACACAGGGCGTGCACAGTTCTGTCTGCCAGCTGTCATAAAAATGGATTTTGAGCACGTCCTTGACTTTCGAGGCGCTTAGCTCTCCCTTGGGAAGAGCATAACGTCCCTGCAGTCCTGTCCGCTCTGTCCCTCCTGATGGCTGTGGGGTCTGCTGACCCCATGGTGCAGGCCAGCTGCCAGCCAAGGCTGGCTCCCAAGTGGCACAAGCCTCCATCTAAGCAGTCATTCTCTGACTACCTCCCGCGAAGCTCTGTATTGAGTAGTTGCTTTAACTCACACGCTACAGTATGGAGGAGGACAGATCGTCCTTAGTTAAAACACCACGCGGAGTTGATTGAAAGGCCCGGTCCTTTTTATTGAAACTCAGCGCTTTGATAGCCTGGGGTGTGGCTCAGAACATGCCCAGTGTGTGTGAGGCTCTGGGTTTATTCTCAGTGCTGCATAAACAGTTTTAAAAAGAAAAAGTTAAAACCTAGCATGTTGGGACCTGTGTACCTAGTAGATGACTGTCAGCCGCTGGAGCATTTGAAATGGAGCTGTAAGGAGTCGCTTAGTGGCACCTGTTCACCCTCACCAGGCACCTGGCCAGCACAGCGCAGCTGGGCAGGGCTGCCGACTTGCACTAGAGTGTTTTGTTTTGCTTTTTTAATGTTTTTGACAAGTTACCGTTTTCTTTGTATGGATTGAATGATGTGTAAACCAGTAGACTCTTGAGGAAAACCATGAGATTGTGTCATCAGTCTGGCTAAATACTATGCAGCAGGGCTGGCCTGTGAGCTGAGTGGTTTTTACCCTTCAGATAGTTCCAAGGACAGTGTTTAACTATCCTTGATAACTCACAGAATCATATGAAGTTCAGATTTTAGTGATCAGAGGCTTGTTGGACACAGTGATGCTCAGCTTTCAGCCCGTGAGGAGTGCTGAGTATTGGGACCAAGGTGGCCACAGTCCCTAGAGTGTCTGCTGTGCCCGGAATGCCAAGGCTGGGACCTGTGCTGAGCGCAGGGAGGGGTGAGTGACAGGGAGGAGAGGCCTAGGCATATGCGGAGCCACAGAAGCAGGCGAGGGCTCTGCAGGGTGCAGGGCCGCTGCTGCCCCCTTTAACATGGAGTCTTTTCGGTTTCTCCGGAGTCCCTGTGTCAGCCAGGCCTGCCGTCTGTCCAGGATGTTTTCTAGAGGCCTGCAGCTCTTCATGTGAGATCCTCTGGTGGTGGTGGTGGTGTGGACCACACCCAGAGGACACAGTGGGCATTGGCTGCTGCGTTCCACATGGGAGCACTTCGTGTTGTTGACGTGTGACAGCGCGCATCTGGCGCAGGTGACTGTGCTCTAGGTAGTGACTGCCAGTGTAGCCCGCTTCAGGGCAGGCAGGGCACCCAAGCAGCGCCACAGCCCACACTGTATCCTAGCATTGCGTGCCCATTCTGTGCCTAGGTTTTCCTCCTTGCTGGCCCTGATGATGGTCAGTGCCATTTCAAAAAAGTTGTTGGCCCTGCATTTCTGTTTTCTGGTTCACTGCAGTGCTCGCTCCTGTTAACTCTGCTGTCAGTGCTTTTATTTGTCATGGTGTCGAGTGGCAGCTTGTCCTTGCTGTGTTCTTGGTGTAGAGAGCAGGGCCACGCTAACTATTGATGCAGTGCTTTCTCAAGTTTTGCTTGTGCTCTCAGGCTTTGTGTTTCTTGGTGGGGTAGACCTGTCTAGGCTGTTCTTGCTCTGGTACCCTCTGAAAATGAAGCCCAAAGTTTGGTTAGTGTCTGTTGCACTTTAGTGACAGTGGGCTTTGGGATGTGTGTAATCAGTAGGGAGTTAGTTCACTCTGTTCACAAAGTTTCTTTTTCATTTAATTTATGTATCAAAATCAGGACAAATATCAGAGTTTACAGGTTTGATTCTTATGGCAGATTAAAATGTCCGTGTTAATTCCTAATCGTCCTATACAGCCCACCTTTTTAAGAAAATCTTTGTTGATTTCTGGATTCTCAGCTGTTAATCTTTGGACAGAGTATTGCATTGGCCTTGGCTCTTCTTCCAGATGTGCACCTCGTCTCTTTTCTTCATGGTTCAGGAAGAAGGAGTCGCCCTAGTGAGTGGCGCCAGAGCAGGAGCGCAGTCTGTGATTGCCCTCCCAAGTGGTGCCAGTGTTCCTCCCTGCAGGGACATGGGCTGAGACCCGCATGGGTGGTCTGGCCCAGCAGCTGTGGCAGTGCAGGCTGTGGTGCTCAGTGCTGTGGCACGGGCCTGTCCACAGCTGCAGCTTGCTTTGCAGAGGCGCCTGCTCGCTCTCCGATTGATTCTGTGTCCTTGTGCCATCAGGCCCGCTGATTCGCTCTTTGTTTCATTCAGATCTTGCACTCAGATTCTGCCGTGACTTGTGGAGCCTCGGTCGCTGCTGGAGCCAGAGGTTTTTACTCTTTGGGGTCCCAAGCCAATGAGGTGGCAGTCCGAGCAGGGCAGGGCACTTAGCTGAGGGGCTCCTGGGTGAGTGTGGGGAGGAGGCATCACTGGGGGCTGCGGCCTGCCAGCATGTAGTGCTTGGAGCGTTTCCAAGGCCAGGCCGTGCCCCAGGCGGAAACGTGGCTTTTTCAGGTGGTGAGTTGAAGGTCACCTGGGCAGCGCCAGAGTGCCTGAAGTTCCACTCATAGTGCCACACCCCAGCACTGAACCTGGCTTGTTGCTAAGCTGAGACTTATTTTGGAAGCCAGTTGCTCTAAATGCCATGGGCAATTTCAGTACATGTTTGTTTGCTATGACTTTACTGAGGCTAAAGGATGGGTTATTAGAAGTCAGTGCAGACAGCATAGACTATAGTTTCAGTGAAGTCTGAAGTTAGCCTAAGGTTAGATTCTTCAGACTAATATAAAACGTGATTTTGAGAAGTTAAACAGGAAGATGCCTTTAAGTTTAGTATGTTGATTTTTAAAATTACTATTTCCCAAATCTTGCTTAGAAATCAGATGTGTTTTAAGAGAAGTTAGTTAATGGAGCTAGGATAATTAACTGCTCCTTTAATAAAGATTTGCTGTAAATTCGTTGGCTAATGTCACCCCCAGATAGATAGTCAGATCGGCAGGAGCAGAGAGCGGGTTCACACGCGGTCAGGGAGTAATTCAGTGTTTTTGCGTTGTGCAGCCTGAGAAATGCCAGCGGCCTGACGGCAGCAGACATTGCCCAGACCCAGGGCTTCCCGGAGTGCGTGCAGTTTCTCTTGAGCCTCCAGAGCTGCCAGCTGAGCCGTTTCTGTCAAAATGGCACCTTGAGTGGGGGTCACGAGAATGTGTTTCCCAGTCGTGTTAGTGCGGGAATAAATCGAAAGAGATGCTTGGAAGACTCCGAACCCTTGGGCATGAAGAAAGCTAGACTTGGAGGTGAGATTGCTGGGCCTGGGGGGGCAGCTCCTGGGGCGGGAGCCTGGGTACCCCTGCATCTATCCCCCAGCGTCTCGGTGCTCACCTTCTGCCATTAATCAGTAAAGTCTTTTGGCACGTCTTTCAGAATATAAATTAAATCTGCCACTGCCCAAGCCTGGCTTCTTACAAATGCTCCCCAGCTTTAAAGGTAGTGACCTGGCAGGAAATTGTTTTTCCCTCTTTGGTACAGTCACTGGGCTGAGACAGCCTGGTCCTTGCTCGCTGGCCCTGCGATAGACCTGAGGAGCTAAGGTAAGTGGGGAGCAGCCTTCCCCAGAGAGGGTGGTGGGACCTTCTCCCTGGGCCCAGAATGGCTGGGGAGATCCCCGTGTATGCAGCCCAATGTGCAGGCATCAGCCGTCGCGGGCCCCTGAGAGTGGCGCTGGCCATGCAGACCCAGAGGTCGTCGCTACCTTCATTCCATGTGGGGAAGCAGCTCCTGCTCCAGTGCTGGGCCACGGGGCCTCTGGTGGCACAGGCTTTGCCTGTCATTGACACATGTATTTCACAGCTGTTTTGAAGCCCATTGCTGTAAAGACCTAGTGACTTGTAGCATGAATGTGTGAACTGAAACGTTGCGGTGTTCGTTGCAGTTGAGATTGGAGCCTAGGAATAGCTCAGCGGTACAGTGCCTGCCTGGCAAGTGCAGGGTCCTGAGTTCAATTATTGATACCAACATTAAGATTTGGGAGGAAGTGTGTTTTTGAGGAAGGGTCTTCATGTATAGTTCAGGCTGCTGTTAAACTCTGCATAGCCCAGGCTGGCTTCAAGCACTGCAGTCCTCCTGCCTGCCTCCCAAGCTGGGATGACAGGCATGTCCCATAACATGGGCCTCCAAATTTATGATTTTTGTAAGCTGTGGGCCTAGCAATCTCTAGAACAATGCCCTAAAAATCATAAGCACAACATAAAGGGTGCATATAAATCTCAGAGTGGTGGCTGTTAACAATAGAGTGTTGCTCAGTGTTGTCATTTGATTGACTTGTACCACGTTCCTATAGTTTTTGGTGGTTTTTTTTTTTAATATATTTTTTTTAATTTTATTTATGTGTGTGTGGCCAGCTCAGCCCACCAGGGGGGCGGGGCTGGCTGGCATGTGGTGCTGAGGATTGAACCGCGGTCCCTGTGCTTTGCGAAGCTTGTTCTAAGTAGATGCTTTAGACCACTGAGCCATCTCACCAGCCCCAGTTTTTGGTGTTTTGGGATGGTGCTCACCGTAGTCCAGGTTGGCCTTGAATCTGTGGCAGTCCTTCTACTCTCTGGCTTAGACTTTAAAAGCCCTCTAAGGACACTTTTTTATTCGTTTCTTATTCGTTTTCTAAGGGCATCTTCTGAAAACTATCTCTTTTCAGCTCCACTTACCCCCTACTTGCAGCTGTGGACCGACTTTGTAAGCATCAGCCTTCCGCATGCCCGTATGTACCAGCTGAACGTGGGCTCAAGTGTGCTTTAGAAACGAGCTGCGCTTTCTACCACAGCTCATCAATTATGTTTACTGGTTTTGTGGGGGTTTTTTTTAGCGGAACCAGGGATTGAACTCAGGCCCTTGCGCTTGCCAGGGAAGCACATATTCCACTGAGCCATCTCCCTGAACCCAATGATGTGCACTTTATTTTATTTATTTATTTATTTTTTTAATTTTATTTATTTGTGTGTGTATGTGTGTGTGTGTGTATGTGTGTGTGGCCAGCTCAGCCCACCAGGGGGGCGCGGCTAGCTGGCATGTGGTGCTGGGGGATTGAACCGCGTCCCCGTGCTTTAGCTAAGCTTGTTCTAAGTAGGTGCTTTAGACCACTGAGCCATCTCACCAGCCCCTGATATGCACTTTAAAATGCTCTTTAAAGTAGTTTGATGTCTTCTGTTGTTGCTGGGACACCGTACCTGGACACTCAAAACCCGGGAGGTCTGTTCTGACTCAAGCCTATGGCGCTCTAGTGCTTCAAATGCTTCAGTTCCCTTGCGCCAGGGCGGGGCAGCAGGGAGAAGACCAGTGGAGCACACCCTCTGCCACTGTGACCCTGTCACCTTGCAGAGCCCTCACCGGAGCACATGAGGCTTTGGGAGGATGTCTAGATACGAATTGTCTTTTTTCCCTACTTGTTCATAGAAGTTTACAGGTGCCTGGGATATGTTGGCTGTGTAAAGATGCATAGCTTGGACCTTATTAATGACACAGTCCAATCTGTCTTCTTAAATTCAGGAGGATGTAGTGATATTTGGTGCGAAGTGTGTACATATTCCCTTTGGAGGGGGGTTGTACTAGGACTTCAGGGTCTTGAGCCTGCCGGGCAAGCGCAGTGCTGCTGAGCCAGTAAACCCCTGGCCATGGGTATGCAGGTTTTAGGGTGGGCTTTGTCGCGTTTTGCTGCTGAGCTGGGGTCTCGCTGTCTCGCAGGTCCTCTTGCACTCCCAGGTCCTCTGCCTCTCCCCAAGTGCTGGGATGACAGTCATGCGCTGCCCTGCTGGGCACGACATGTATTATGTTCCAGGTGACCCAGCTGTAAACTGGCTGTAGCCTGTGCTGCTCTCAAGGAGAGTTTATATCTAGACATCCTCCCAAAGCCTCGTGTGCTGTTTTACTGGGATCTCGTGACTGAAATCCAGCTTCCCCGAAGAGTGCTGTTGGCTGCCAGAGTGGGCAGTTCTCCCTTTGGACACCCTGCGGGAGGAAGTCGCAGTCATTCGTGGAAAACACTGTCTTGGTGCTGGCTGTGAACTGTCTTTGGGGAGCAGTTCCCACGTGTATAAAATTCACTTTAAAATGTCTGTGATTGGACCAGCCAGATAGCTCAGAGGACTGAAGGACCTGTTAGGCAGAGCACAGCAGCTGGGGTTTGATCCCCCAGTTTGCCCTTCTGGTCCCACCCCTGGGGTGCACTGAGACAGTGATTGAGACTAGGTGTGGTGGTATGTGCCTATTATCCCAGGGCTTGAGAGGCTAAAAACAGGAGAATCACTGAGTCCGATCTACATAGTGAGACTCTGCAGAACCTGAACTAAAATGCAAATAAATAATAAAATATCTGTGATTGTCATTCATGTTAGTGACCAGGTGCAGGTGGGTGAGAATGCAGCCTGTGGCACACTGGCCTAGGAGTGTCCCAGTGTGTCACTGTTCATATGTGTAGTCCTGGGAGCTGTTTGAGGCCCGTGGCTCACAGCACAGTTGCCCCTCACAGGGCCAGCTGACAACACGGGTTCCTTGGGGATCCATGTGCGTGCTGCATTCCCACCACAGAAGGACCTGGTGCCCTCAGGCGTGTGCCCTAGGTCCTGGCGCTGGGCTCCTCCTCCCCTGGTGGCCTGCCGAGCCGACACAGCGTTGATCCCATGGGTTGGTGGGGCCCTGGTGGACACGTGTTCTGGGTGTCTCTTCTAGTTCTCAGTGTGGATGTCTGGCAGGTTCTGCTCAAGGCCTGGGCTTAGTGAGTGCAAAAGCAGCACTGCTGCTGTCCTGGGGCTGTCTTCATGTCTGTCCTGCCACCTTTCAAGGGTCTGAGTTAGAAAAGTGATCTCTAGTTGCCACATGAAAGGAGACTGTTGGCAACTGGGTTGGGTTAGCAGCAGCCCTGAGGCTGGGCGTGTGGGGAGGGGTCGGCTCTCCCACCCGCTTGCTGGTCAGAGTGTTAGCTGGGCTGTTCATCTCTGTTTGGGCGTGGGTGCTGGGTTGGTAGGAGAGGTGGGGATTTGCCGAACCCTGGTTGGATTGGGGTGCTGGATAAGGAAAGCCGGGGCTAGAAGAGGGGCAGCAGTCTGCGAGCTCAGCGCCCGCTTCCCACCCTTGCCCTGCCAAGAGCTGCCCTGGTGCAGAACGGGAACCGCAGAGCTGCGTTCTGTCAGCAGTGTTTTCATGACAGCACTTGGCACCAAGAGTTGCTTGTTTTGTGTATTTGGCCCAGAAATAATTTCTGTTTATTGAAGAACTGTAAGGGCCAGATGCATCTGTGGGGGAACTGGCAAGTGCCGGCCACAGGAGACGAGATCAAGGCAGCCCAGGTGCTGGGGGAGCTCGGTTCCCTGGAGTGTGGACACGTGCCAGGCCACGAGCTGAGCGCTCCTGGGAAGTCCACTGGGGTGGGCTTCGTGCCATATCAGAGTGAGGTACAGCTGCTTTCTTCTAGAATTTTTTTGGATGCAAATTGAGAAGCTGTATGTGCAGTGGAGTAGCTGCTCCGAGATGGCAGAGTCTGCTTTATGGCAGGCAGGGGTGGTGTGGAGTCCGGAAGGAGAGCGGGCTCGCGTTTCCACTTGTGGCTGTGTAGAGTGGGGAGCCAGGCACTGAATGGCCCAAGCTCGGTTGGCTCTGGTGTGTGGACGCTGGTGTTTCTTTCTTTAGAGAATGTTTTTTAAAAAGTCATAATTTTGGACCCGGCCTGATAGCTCACGCACTAAAGCACCTTCTTAGGTGGAGCACAGTGGCTAGGATTCAGTCCTCAGCATGCCGTGGTGGCACGTGCCTGTAATCCCAGCACTTGGGAGGCTGTAAACAGGATCACTATGAGTCCAATCTGTGTAGCGAGACCCTGTAAGCCCTGTCCTAAATACAAAAAAAAGTCACTATTTCTTAAATGGTGTTGTGCTACTGGATGGTTGCCTTTTAAGTATTTCTTTTGAAAACCATGTACTATATTACATGAATTATAGGATTGTCTTTGAGTTCTGTAACATCTTTATGTTCTAGTACAATCTTTATTTTAGGGAAGGGTGTTCAGGGTCTCGCTACTAGATCAGACTCAGTAATCCGCCTGTTTACAGCCTCCCAAGAGCTGGGGCCATCACGCCCAGTCTCAGTTGCTGTCTCAGTGTTCCCTGGGGAGGCCGGGGGATCGAATCCCTGGCCCCTGTGCCTGCTTACCGGTGCTTTGATCTGCTGAGCTGTTTTGCCGGCCCAAGTATAGTCTTAACCCTTTTAGTGGTGGGAGTTTCCAGTGGTACACAAAGTGGTCCTGGTGAGCTCTGCCTCTTGAGTTATTTGCCCGTTTTAAAGCATGCAGTGCAGATATGAGAACAGGGACGTGTCTGCACTTCGCGCTCATTTACACCAAGGAGTCTGAAAGTCTCTGTTCTCCTGCAGCTCCAGGCCTGGACTGTGCCATGCCGCTAGTGAATGGCGAGCCGGAGGATGAGGCGGACAGAATGCACGTTGATAGAGAGTTTGCTGCCGTAACAGGTGGGAGTGGACAGTTTCCTGTTGGCTGCAACAACAGCCCAGTGCTCGAAGACACCAAGCAACAGCAGAGTGGTTCTGTTGGACCGAAAGAAATAGAAATATATACTGTTTCCGCAATGCAGACCCCTTGTCGTTGCAAGAATCAGTATGCATATTATTTCTAACATACGTTTTCCTCAAGCTACTTTGCACTTTGTTCAATGTCTGTTTAAAGTGTTACCCTATGTAAATTTTGGATGGGTTAGTAGGAAGAAATGTTCTCGTGCATTCTCAGTATGAGAGATTGATTTGGCTTTTGCTTAATGTGCCTTGCCTACCTCTAATGAGGTTTGCATTTTTAACATTTTGATGTGGACTCTGGGTGAGCGAAGCCTACCTGCCGGCGCTTACACTTTTAAGCAGTAAATTCAAAGGACAGGTGGGAGCAAACCTTGCGATCTGGTAAATGTCGTGGTCCTGGTTGTCACCACCAATGCAACAGGCCCTTCAGTCCTGCACAGGGCTGCTCTGGTGCCCACTGTCCCTTGTGGTGCGCTGGGTTGTGGCCACTGCTGAGGCTGGGTGCTCACAGGGGGCTGGTGTTTCCAGCCCCAAAAGGCAAAGGCTCAGCGTATCCCGGCATGTGGAAGAGTTGGTGAGCCGGGACCTGCGCCACCCTGGAGAGACTAGAAGGTTCACCGTTGCTGCTCAGGGTGTTTGATCTATGGCTAGTTTTTCTGGCACTTCTGTTCTGTGATCACAGAAACATTTTAGCTGTTTTCTTACTATGTTTAGAAATTCTATTTTTAGTAGTTTCATTATTATGTATTTATGATAAATTCTCCCCCAGGAACAAAAGATTATGTATGTGCTTTGGAAACCCATAAGAAAATGCCATTTTATTCACCTCAGAAGGGAAATGTGTACATCTTCCCACAAGTGTCAGGATTGCTGTGTGGGGTAGTGTCACCATTTTGGCAAATAATTAGATGAAATTGGAAGATTTTTCATGGCCAGTGCTGAGCAGAGAGTGTGTTGTTTTGATCCAGTGTCTGCACAGGGGGGGCTCCCTTGGCCTCGGTCTCTGGCCAGTGCCAGGATTACAGGTGTCAAGAGGACATTTTAAATCACGGGGTGTTTTCACTCAGGGACTCCGACCTCAGTAGAAATGGGAAAACTCACAGCCTGCCCACCAGGAAAATGACAGTGCTTCGGACTTTTGACTCGCCAGAAGTCATAGCTGCTGGCCCTGAGGTGCAGGCCAGAGGCTCCCAAGGCCCCATTGGACAGGGAGCCACCAGGAGGTCAGGCTGCAGCCCCACACAGACCTCCGCTGCCTCTGGATCTGTGCTCTGCTCTGCTGGCGTCTTTTTCAGGAGGGCTGCATCTTGGAGCAGCTGTTGGAGGCGTGGCTCATGCTTTAAGCCTCCAGGCAGGTTCCCAGGAATGGCAGCTCCCTACTGGGCTCCATGGCTCTGGAAGCAGAAGACACAGCATCCCCAGCCAGTGGCACCAAGGCAGCTGGGCCCTGGGACAAGAAGGGAGGCTGAGGGCCAGGGAGGAAGCCTGGTTTCTATACCTGCTTTTATGGGGTTGCGTTGCCCACGTTCTGACATTAAGTGCTAAACCAGTGTACTTTAGCTGGCACTAAAGAAAGATTACTTTATTCCATGAAAACTGACATGGAGTCAGTGTTATTAACCAGCAAGGTTGCCATAGGATCAGTACATTTTATTACCTGGGAAAGGTGTCTAAATTAATTTTTTTTCCAATTACATTTGAAAAGAGTAATAAAAGTTTCCCCTGGGGATAGGTGGGGACTTGGGAGATGGGGTTGGGGACAGAGTCTCACTATGCAGTTAAGGGGTTGTCTTGAACTCACGGTGTACCCAAGGGGTACAATTCTAATTCAGTGATCCTCCTGCCTGCAGCCTCCAGGGCTTGAATCACAGGCATGTGCCACCACCCCAGGCAAACAATTTATATTTAGTTCTTGAAACTTGTTCTCTAATATTGAGTTTGAACTCAATGCGAAAACCATCATTTAGGGCCAGGGAGATAGCTCAGTGGTGTAAGTGCCTGCCTGGCAAGTGCAGGGTCCCAAGTTTGATCCCTGGGGTACTGCAAAAAAAAAAAAAAAAGTTACCTGAGCAAAAGTAAATTGAAGAATTTATAGCCCTTTGTGAACTATGATTGTTGCGTAAGTTGCAGAAACAAGTCAGTCATAGAGCACCGGCAAGGCTTTTTAGCCAATAGCCAGGTTCCATTTTCAAGGACAACAGGCCCTGCTGGGTTCCTGGCTGGCAGGCAGGAAACAAGCCCTGTGTGGGGTCGCAGCAAGTCTGGAAGGCATTCTTACTCTTAGTGCAGTGCCTCGCTGTGGTCACTCTGGGCATCTGGATGAAAGGTGATGTCACCAAGCAGGAGGTAGAGTTAGGTCCCTGTGCGCTGCCTGTGAACCTGCATGTTCCTCAGTCCTGGGGCACAGAGAGCAGGGCGTGACATCTGGCCCCACACCCCACGTGGGGCAGGAGCCTCCCGCAGGACACCCCAGGTGTGCAGACCGAGCGTCTGCGTTTTTCTAGCACTGTGCCTTTTTCAGAGCGCCTCAGCAGGGCAAAAGCCTGGCTCCGCTGTTTTCCTGTCGCGCTCAGAAGACCCGCTCCCAGCTGCTGAGTGGCTGGCGGCATGCTGAGCTCATGCAATGCGCCCGTCCCTGTGCCTGCCCCAGGCCAGATGTGCTGAGGACAGGCTGGGCACACCAAGAAGCCGGCCTCCCCTATCACTTGCATTTAGCTTTTCCCTTTGGTGCTAGAGATGATTTCTGTTCTTTAATTCTGTGTAGAAAACATGACCTTCAGTTGTGACTGACCTCTTGAGGATGATTTCAGTCTGACACCAGGACAGCTGCTCGGTGGCTCTTCTGTGTAGTATAATTTGGCCGCGCACCACCACTGAAATGCGTGCATTGCCCCTGTAAACCTATCTATATGTTTCATTAAACTTCGGAACAAAGGAATTGGTTTGTTTAGAAGAACAGAAAGAGTGCTGTGTAGAAGTGTAGCAGTGACACGTGTTGTAGGTCTCCTGTTGGTACAGAACTCTCGTGACAGGTGTATTTCTTGATGCAGATGTGAAAAACAGTAGCTCCATGTCGAGCACTCTGACAAATGGCGGTGTCGGCAGTGGACATTTGGACCTCCCCTGCACGAGCCACCTCAATGGACTGGACAGCAGGAGCAGCCCGTGCGTCACGGGAGCTGGCGGGCTCAGCAGTGCACCGCTGCCTGGGCGGCCGTTCCCCGGCAGCCAGGGCGCAGTGGGTGCTAACGGGACTGAGGAGCCGGAGAAGACCCTGAGCACCAGCCCCGAGCTGTGCGGCGCCCTGCACCTGAACGGGAGCCCAAGCAGCTGCGTGGCCAGCAGGCCGTGCTGGGTAGACGACCTGGACCCGGGGGCGAGCTTGCACTACGGCCACTACCACGGCTTTGGGGACACGGCTGAGAGCCTCCCGGAACTGAGCAGTGTGCTGGAGCACTCGAGCTGCGTGCAGGTGGAGCAGCGCTACGCCAGCGCCCTGCACCTGCACCCCGGCTCCTGAGGCGCGGGATGGCCTCCGCACCTGCTTCCTGTGACCCCGCAGTCCCCTGACCATCAGCTTCACAGTGCGGCCTTGGGCGTGGCTGTGGCACGTGATCCCCACCCTTTTGTAAGACACTTGGGAAGTTTCATTTTTCTGACACCGGTTTCGATGTTTTTTAGAAAGGATCACCAAAAGTTGTCCTTTTTCATTTTTATTCTGAATTCCATCAAGATGAGTTGGGGCTGTGGATGAGGGCTTGGGCACGTCTCTCTCCCTGGCCCCTGACTGCCGAGCTTGCCTCTGCCTCCAGTGGTGGCAGCAAGGACCCCTGCCTGGGGGAGCCCTGTCCCGCAGGGTGGTGCTGGGGGGGAGCCACCCCTCAAAGTGGGAGCCCTGAGCACGGGAGGGGGGCAGCGCACAGGCTCCTGGAGAGGCCCGCCGCAGCGGCGCCCTTGTGCCCCACCCTCCTACCTGCTGTGGAGTTTTTACCATATACAATGTTTCCTTTATACATAGTGGAAGGTAGTATTTGTAAGAAGTGTCTAGTCAAAATATTTGCCTATTTTGACATTTTTTTCCCCTTGTTTTTCGGTTTTCTGCTTTAAAATATATACTGCTATATACATATAGCCAGTTAACTGAGGGGTTTTAGTCTCTAAAATAACATCAAGTTCATGGTTTTATAGAAATTAGCTTTTGTTTAGCAGCTAGTGGTTACACTATGCAAATATTGTGATGAATTTTTACTTTTCTGGTTTTTGTAATAACAACTGGTGCCGCTAGAGAACATGTCAAATGAAAAGCTGCTGCTGTTTGGAGAGTGCTCACATTTTAAACTGTTCTTCATAGAGTGAATAAAAGCCCACAGTCAGTTGTTGCCGCAGTGGCCTCTCTCCGGGTGGCAGGCGCAGCAGTGAGGCTGAGGGCCCAGCTGATGGTGTGGGGTTGGCGCATGGCCCAGCAGATAGCAAAGTGACCAGATTGCGGTTAGAAAGTGGCAGCCGCCCTCCTGGCCCCGTGTGTGGCATGCAGCTGTCTTTCCTTGGCAAGTGTTTTCAGGAAAGCCAGGCCAGTGCAAGCACACACCTCACACCTCCTGCTGGAAGCGTCACCACAGTCCTGGCGCCGCCGAGAAGAGCTTGTGGGTTGTGGCACTTGTGCTCGGGAACCAGACAGCCTGCGGCTTCCTGCCGGACTGCTCTGGGCCATGTCCCAGGGGAGCTCTTCTGCAAGCGACGCCTGGTGGAAAGCACGAAGTGGCCTCTGAAAGTACAGAGGGTGCAGACACTTGGTCAGTCTGGGACTTGCCACGCATGCGGTGGCCACCGGGTCTGCGGTGGGCGGCATCTGCACTTCAGCCAGGGGTGGTACAGAACCCGGCTGGCCTTGAGCTCCAGCCCTGCCGGCCCCTCAGTGCTTCGCTTGAGACACGGGGACATGGTGCCCTCCAGCATCCCTGCAGCCTTCAGGGTAGAGGGAGACCCATAGCGGGCCTGGTAGGTGTCCACTGATGCGTAGGTGCCTAGGCCAGAAGCCCTTTTCCCTAGCTTGGGTTGGCTGTACTTGCAGCACACGGATCCAGGAGCAGAGTCTGTGTAGAGTGGCGCTGGGACTCTTGAGATACTTGGGAATTAACTTAAATGGGTGTTGGAGACTTCTACACTGGACGCCGAAGTATTGCTGAAGAGAAGACCTAGAGGCACGCAAGGATCTGGCCTCGTGCAGGCATGAGTGGGGAGGGCAGTACTGTTTTAGTAAGGCTTCCAGGCCTGCCAGTATTAGGTGATTTCTTGCCACTTCACGGTGACGGTGCTTATCTGCTGGTCGTAGGCATTGAAGTCTCTGTCCTTGGGCCTTGTAGCCCGCACTAATCAGGGGCAGCGAGAAAGCCTTGAGTGCTGCGCTGCCCAGATGCCAAAACAGGCCATCAATGAGTGCAGCTCGGGGGCCGAGGAGATGCCTCAGCGGAATAAGCGCTTCCCTGGCAAGCACAAGGGCCTGAGTTCAATCCCCGGTTCCGCCAAAAAATAAAAATAAAAAAATGGATGCAGCTCACTGTGTTGCCACCAGCGCTTGGTTAATAAGGCAACTGGGAAGGTGCATACACTTGTCCTGTGGAGCCAGCTTCTGCCGAAGTCTGAATCTTGCTTTTGAGAAAGCTCAGGTGGTTTGGGGTTTTTTTTTGGCTGGCTCAGGCTGCCTTAAGGGCGGGTGTGGTACGCATGTGGAGCTGGGAATCAAACCGTGGTCCTGCAAGTCTGGCTGGGTTTTCCCATGCAGGCACTTAACAACTGAGCTAAGTAACTGGCAAGCCCCTCAGGTGGGTTTTGATTTTGCTTTTTTGCCTTTTTTTTTTTTTTATTCTTTAGAGACAGGGTCTCTTGAGCTCACTTCATAGCCCAGGATGGTCTTTTTTTTTTTTTTTTTTTGTTTTTTTGTTTTTTTTGAGGCTTGACTTACACATGGCAAGAATGTGTAAGTCTCCT